ACTCAGGCGCCAGACGCCACCAAACATTCGGAGCTCGCCCCGGTGTACCTTCAGGGCCCAAAGCAGCATGGCCAATTTCCTCGCCTCTTCATCCATCTCATTGAGGCCAGGGGCACCAAGAGTTGAAGCCTCCCCAGGTGCCGCGGTAGCCACTGTGTGCTTGAGGTCGGGCATCTCCTCCAGAAGCTTGGGGCGCTCAGCCCATGGGTTCTGGCCATTTTGAAGTGCCCGCGTGGCCGGAAGGTAGTGCTGCAGCATGTCCGAGGGGTCCGGGACCTGGTGCCAGCCCAGTGAGGCCGTCGGACAAAAGAGGCCCCTCTCCAGCTTTTGTTGGAGGTCGGTGGGCCAGGCCGAGATCTCCATTGGGTCGAGCGCAAACTTCTCCATGAAGGCCGTGCCCTGGTCTTGGATCTGTTTGTTCGCCGTTTTGGCCTTCTCCATGGTGGTGACCGCCGCCTGAAGGGATGCCTCAGTGCTGCCCGAAGATTCCTCCAGCATCCTCTTCTTCAAAGCGGCTTTGAAGTCCAGGAGGTTGACCTTCCGTAGGAGGTCAGAGCCAGAGTTCCGCACCTGGCTGTCAGGGACCGACTGCATGCCCTCCTGAATGGGGGCCAAGACGGTGGCCTGCAACTGGGCCACATGGTCCGCCTTCTCCTCACGTTCCGCCTCCTCGGATTGGGCGCGCTCCGCCTTGAGGTCGGCAGCAGAGAGGCCTTGAAGGGCCTCAGACTGAAGGCGAAGGGCCTTGGCCGCCTCCGGTTGCTGCTCCTCCAGTCGTCTGCGATGGACCGCCGTTGTCTCTGCCGCGTCATCCTCATAGTCAGCCGACAGGATCTCCTGCCGGATGTGGACCCTGCAGACTGATGGGACCTCATCCGCAAAGGTCCTCTCTGCCTCAGTGCAAGTGGCCGCAGGGGCCTGGGCAAACTGGCTCCCATCAATGGAGTGTGACAGCTTGAAGCGCCGCTCCGCCTCAGGGTCCATGCCAGTCGCCGCAGGGCCAGGGGCACCTGGGTAGACGTGGCAGGAGCACGCCAGACCGGCCGGCCTGCCTCGTAGAGCAGCGTCCAGTCTCATCGCCCACCTCCATGATGGATGTAGGCCGCTGGTACTCGATGGCTTGGTCGTGTTTGCAGGTCCAGCACCTGGTCGCGTTGTCCGGCCAGGGCGTCATGCATTTGCCACACATGGAGTGGAAGGGCATGTCTCCTGCAGGCCGGTGGAGGCCTCGATCCTCCGTCAGGCCGGACTTGTCCGTGGCCTTCTGGTATTTCTGTGTCCAGATCTTCTCCTGCATGGCCAAGGCCCGCAGGGGGATGTACTGCTCGATGATGCGGGAGACCACCGGCTCGGAGAGTGGGTAGCCCGTGAACTGGTCGAAGAGCTGGACCATCTCCTTCTCAGTGCACGAGGTGAGGAGCCCCGCCAGGTGGCCCGGAATGGCCGGAAAAGAGTCTTGGAGGTTGGTTCCTCCATGGGCTGTGGAGCCGGCCTCTTGCTCGGTCTTGGAGGCTCCGGTGTTTGGGCCTTCGGGATCTACCGTGTACCCTGCCGGTGCAGGGGGCGTGAAACCTAGGCCTGGTCTCTCACTGTGGTCGTCGTCCATCGGCTCCATTGGTGCGGCTGCCCGTGGCTCCGCCGAAACAGGCCAGGCCATCGGGGGTTCCGCCATGGTTGTCAGCAGCGCAGGTTGGGCCTCCGCCGCAGAGGGTGTAGTAGCGCTCGAGGTCGGTGCCACAGCTGCCATAGCCGCATCCCCCCTCACCGCTAGGCCAGTTGCCAGCGCCGCCATCAGCATTGTCGTCTAACCCCAGGACTTGAGCTCCTGCAGGTGGCGCTCCAACTCTCGAATCTGCTCCTGAGCGTCCAGCTCGGAGACCAAAACGGGCTGGCCAAAAACGGCCAGGCCCCTAGCTCCTTCCGCCTCCGCATGACGGAGGGCTGTAGACGCAGCGTCAGCTGCCTGGTCCAACCTCTCCATGCCCGGGCTACTGACTGTAGCCAAATCCTCCACGTCTGGTTGGGCATCTCTAACCGACTCAATCATCACGTACTCCGCTTCCATCGGGTGCGCCATTGCGTCGTGTTCCTCAAAAACCGATATACTGGGGAGTTTTTCTTCCAAAAGTTCAGGTGGAATCCAATGGGCGATTCCCACCAACTTGAGCCAAAATGTCCCGGTGGGACATTTTGTGAACTTCCGTGAACATAAAACTTGCACCCGCAAGCTACATGCAAGTGTGAATTTCTTCCCCCCTTCGAAGAACCTCTCCCAAGATCCCCCGCCTTGCCATATGGCTGGTGGTCGGGCGTGACCTTGAGGACCGTGATGAGTGCGGAGTTCCTGGTTGTCGCGTGACCCTGAGGTCCGCGGGTGGGGCATTGGTGGGGCTTGCTGTGTCGTCGTGGTGGTGACGGTGGTGACATGAGAAATGTTGAGAAACAAAGACTTCTTAGTTCTTAGTCTAAACTTGCATAAATTTGCCACTCGAGTTGCAAGATTGGTTAGATCCTCTTCGAGTCTTGGAGTAGAGAGAACATTGAACATTCCAATATCCGTTTGGTGTGGGGGCTGTCTGCAGACTTCTGAAGGATTTCATTGGTGCTGGACATCTCGTACATGTAAACAATGTAATCTGAGTCTCTGCGGACTCGAGACAGCTCTGCACCTGAGATGGTCAAGTGCGACATGCACGACATGCAAACTCTCGAAGGTCTCAAAGGCATGATCACGATCTCCAATGTTGCAGCTACTGAGTCGAGCTCACCAAGGATGTGCATTAACTCCAATGTTGATTCATGAGTGTGGGATGGTCAACTTCACAAGGATGTGCAACCTGCAAAGCACAATCTGGGTCGTTCAGTTCGGAATTGGTCAAGCTCACGAACGAGCTGCTGTTGTTTAAAAAGCGCCTTCCTCAATGCAGTGGGGGTCAAGCTCGCCAACAAGCAACAACCCACACTGGCACCTTTCCACCTGAGGGTCACTGACTTGCAGATGACACTTGCCCCACCCACAGCTGTTTTGCCATGGCAAGCCCTGCATCTGCTGCAGCTTTCTCATCATTTCGAAGCAAAACAGTCTGCAACAACAAGCTCCATCATGGTAGTGCCACCAGCAAGCTTGTCCCAAAGCTACCGTCTGATCTGCCGCTTTCGCTCTCGACCTGTCATCTCTGGTCTGACTTTAAGTTGTGCATGTCTGGTCTGCCTTTCTGATTCTCTGCATCTGAGCGCCGCTACGCCCACCCATGTCCCAGCGACTGTCTGATGCCCCGCGCCCCGCGGAAAAGACAAGTCAGTCACCAGGCTGTCTGGAAAACGATCTGTGTAGGAGATCAATCCAAGCTGAACTGGTGCAAATACTCCAAGATACTTGTAGATAATGATATGATATGATGACTGCTTTGTGAAAGTGCAAGGTTGGATAGCCAATGTCTCACATAGTTGTAGACTTCTTCATCCAGCATTTTGTGTCACACTGACTGTTTTGATCTGTTTTGGAGATTGCAAAGAAAGGAGCCAATCGTCCATTACGAATGGCTTTGGTATTGAGTGATCATCGTTAGCGTACACCGGGGCAACGTCCCAACCGGCTTCTTCCGGCAAGCCACCCATAGGAAGCATTTGAGGTGGCTAAACTCACATCTCCCCAAGCGTGGTGTTCCACGCATCCTTTGCCAACTTGCTCCATCAGCATGGTGGTTGTCCCATGTGCCACAACAAAACCATCGTTTATACTGGACGCTTTGCCCGGTCAAGTCCGCCTTCTTACAAGGTGACCAACAAGAGACCTTCCCCACCGTGCGGGACCTCGCCCGGTTCCTCTCGTCGTTCCTCTCGGCTGTCGGCCAGTTGTGCCCCTTTAAGATAGTAGCAGTATATCATATAGGATTCAAAAAAAGGAGCTTCACAACTAGGGCTAGCCGGGCTAGCTGCAAATTGCGAATGGGCAAACCAATGAGTAAACCTCGGCAACCCGCATCAGATTGCAATAGAAGAGCACTCCTTATCATTGTGCAAAAGAGCCCTTCCATGAATCTGGTCGTTTCGACTGTCAAAGCGGCGGCCAACGCACAGGTCTGGGCGAAAATCAAAGCTCCCAAGTCTGGAAATCCTTTGAGCAAGTTCACTTCCATTAGATCTGCAAGAAATGCCTTTGGTTCACTTCCTCTACCAACCTTTTAGATATTCAAAGGAAGCTGTCAGAACCGCCGATGAACGCGGAGTACCACAACCCCCACCTCGCGGCGTTTTGGCCCGAGGAGTCACTGGGGGCAGCGACATGGCGGCTGCGTTGATGAGATTGAAGTCAGTAGTGTCCTTGCTCCGTTCGTAGCGATGCCAGGAGCTCCTAGTAGCTTCTTGTTCCTAGTAGTAAGGCCAGGAGCTACTAGTAGCTTCTTGCTCCTGGCGGCTTCTAAAATCCTGTGATGGCCATCAATAACTTGTTGGCCGAGACTTGCGTCCTAGGGTGCGAAGTGATCTGCGACATCTGGTCAAGGCCGGACCAAAAAGCCATGAAAGACGTGTCAGATTCATAACACACTGAGGACTTGACCATTTAACAGCAGGGTTGCCCAGGATTGACACTTTTGACAAAGATAGCTCGTGGATGGCGCGGTTTGTATCTTGAGCCACGGCAGGTTTTAGTGGAGGAATCCCCAATGCCATCGCCGGAGATGGGGGTGATCAGGGTGATCTTACTTGACCTTCGATTTGCCAAGGATTCACATGGACGCAGCAAATCGTTCTCGGCAGCTGCGCAGGAAAAGGAGGAAGACCTAAAATTTGGGAGGAGCAACTTAGGACCCCAAAAAAGAAGCTCCGAAGTCATCAATTGGATCTGTTTGGGAGGAGGAACTCCATGGAGTTGCCTCTCCCATGAAATGGCAATCTCCATGAATCTCTATTTTCGAACGGATCTGGTATGCTTCTCACCGCTTGCTGTCCAAGTCTGTCAGTCTCTCACCACTTCGTTTGGATCGGGCACCCCGGGCTTCGGTGCGAGACGGTGCGCTTGTTTCCTGGGAAAAAAAAAAAAAGACAAAGCCCGGGCGTGTCGAAAGGGGCAAAAGTGCTTCCTGAAGCACATGTGCCAAGAAAATCCTGAGATCATAGATCATGTGAGTTCCCATGATTCGTCAGCGAACTTCTCAGCTTAAAGGCGTTACTTCTCTTTTTTGCACACGAAGAAGCTGGGAATCGGACTTTGGCCCATGAAATAGTAGGCGACCATACCTGCAGCCATGTGAGACCTGATGAATCCTAATGACTTGACGTTGCCTTATAACTTATAAAGCTATAAGGCCGAATACATGAGTCCTAGTCCCACCACTGGTGCATGTTTAGGTGGTCAATCCGACCTTGCACTGTGCTCCTAGGTCCTAGCCTTTGGGTCGAACAAGGAAGGTGCTCAACTCAACCCATCTGGAACTTCTGGACATCCGATCCCCTCCAACCCCCCATCCAGCCCGCCTAAGACTGCTAGGACCAAGATCACTGCAAAGGCTATCACCTTGGCCCCAGCAGGTTTTGGGCTCGTCTGCACTGGAGTCTTGGAGGCGAGGAGACAGGTGTGTCTGACCGGGAATGGGCCGGAAGCTGATGGGCGTTGTGAAAAAGCCATTAAAGAAACAAGGCAACCCCGGGCAACCCCCCACCCAAACACCTAGTTTGTCTTCTCTCCAAACTGGGTCAGCCATGTCGAGCCATGTCGAGCCATGTCGAGCCGCTCGGCCCCGAACCTGTGATGATCTGCGCAGGGTGAAAACCTCTTCCAAGAACCAGCTTTGCTTGGAATATCTTGGAATCAACATCCTTCTCAGTCCAGTTCGCACGGAAAAAAAGTGCGAACTAAACACTTTCCAATCCCAAGGAGTCCTTTATGTCTTCTTGTTGCGCTCCACAAAATCCACAGCAACCGTCTCTTCCCTTGTTGACCAAGATGGTTTGGCTCCTGGCTCCTGGCTCCGCGTCCGCTCCCAACACCGCTCCCAGTCCGCCCCCAGGCGAGGCGACCAGAGCGTCCCGACCACGGGCGAAGGGCCGGAGGACTGCTGGCTCGCATAGAAGTCGCCGCCGCCCACCTCGCCGCGCGGGACGTCCGCGTGGAAAACGGTCCCGAGCAGCGAACTTGCGGACCCGAAGGTGCGGCCGAGCGTGCGGGGCTGGAAGGGTCAGACTCCGGGAGAACTGGAGTCGACCGGAAGCAAAAGACTCGGCGGAAAGCTCCACTCCGAGGAGATCGATGGGATGTCCTGTACAGCATTGTGCTGGAAGGTCATGAACAAACCTATCAAGAGAGTTTGAGCCACTGGGAACAGCTGGTGGAATTTGTAGTCTCGCCCCAACTGTACAATTCTACCTACACACCAGTTGTGCGGAAGGCTATATCCATCACTGTGTGCTTCATTCGTGCTGCTTCTGAGCCTTGACTTAACATGCATGGGGGGCGTTTGCAGGTCATCAGAACAATGTCGGTGCTGCATTCTGCATGTTTATAATGTAACAATGAGATGTTTCCTATTCCCATGCGGTCCGGATCAAATGTCAAGGGGCCCAAACGCCCAATCTGCGGCCGTTCCAAATCACGTAGCATGGCTTCTCAGCAGCTTACCACCCAGCTCACCCCAAATGCTTGGATGCTCAAAAAGGAGAGAAGCCACCAGTGCAGCTGAGAAATCCCAGCTACAAATATATATATATATACCAAACCCGCCACCTTCACTGCCAAAAGAATTCACGGAACGGCTCGCCAAGCGGCATGCGCAGGGTTCACCGGTGTCATCACCTCGCGAGGTCGAGCCGAGGTCGGGAGCACACCGGGCCGCGGCCAACCAGTGTCGGCGGGACAAAAAATACGTTGAACTCCCAAACAACAGGTGGGACCGTTCTTAGTCGTCCAGTACAATTAGAAACACTGCCTTTTGAGGAGGATTTTATTAATTGATGTTCTTGGCGATTGCTGGGGGTTCTCTACAGTTTAAACACTGGCCCCGAGGATCCTTTCAAGTATCAGCTAGCTGCACATCTTCAAGCAACTTGATAGGCTACAACTCACCTCAATCACAAGCTCACCTGTATCCAGGAACAAGAAGTACCGTATCGTATTCTATTGTCTATGATTATTATGTGAGTATATATATGACATGAGTATATGTATGCATCAGCCCTTCTAGCCCAAGTTGGCGATGAGACCCACTCCTCCAAAAGGAACAAGGACAAACAGCCAAAGCCTCTGGCCATGTTTTCCTCGCCCTTCCTCTGCTGGTGCCTTCGGCCTTTCTCAGTCGCGCCTGCTTGGGACAGTAGTGATGGATAAACTCCCCAGCGATGATACTCTGCGCCTGTGCGAAGGTGGAAAAATCCAGTTTTCAGGTTTGTACAAAGCAAGGAAGTTTGCACAAAGCAGCATGCCCAGAAACGACTGTTCGACTGCCAAAGAACATGAACCAACAGCCCCAGTAGAACCACGAGAACAGCCTCTTCCCAAAAAAACCATCGAGTCACTCGTTCCACGGGGCCCACTCCGTCGGTCCGAAAAACACGGTGCGTCTCCCATGCAGAACACGGCGACGCGCGACGGCCGGTGTCACCGCGGAACGCGCGGTGTGAAACGAAGCGGTGCGGATCCGCCTCTGGGGTCCCCGTGGTGACACTATTGGCCGTCAGTGGGTAGTCCACCTGGTTGCTAGGATCCTTGCCCTGCCTTGCGCGACCCGGACAGAGGGCAGCGGAGGGCAGAAAAATGCGATGCAGGGGGGGTACCGAAAGACCTGTCAATGCTCTGAAACCTAGTCTTGTTGGAATTTCCTAGACCCCAAAACTTAAAACTGACTTCGTGTCTGATGGGCATGCAGGACCAGGAGAAAAGAAATCTGCTGGTGGTCCACTTTGTGCGGGTTGATCAACAATCCTGGGCATGTTGCAGAACTGCTTGCAGGCAACCTCCTGCAGACTGCAGATCGTGAAAACAAAACGGTCCTTGACATACGAAACCCTTCAAACGCAACAGCGCGAACCACAAGCCGGTTATTTTGCATCGCCCGCTTTGGGTTGGCAAGAAGACGCCGTGATGACCAAACCTGACCTGGAAACCACGTCTTTCCCCATTCTCGGGGTCTTTCTTTAAGGCAGACTTGATCGACGCGATCACCGGATGGCAGGCACGGGGCGAAGAAGGGCCGCCGAGCTGCCCAACAGCAAAAGCCAAGAAGAATGAGATGAACGAGAACAATCCGACTGTTCTTCTTTATTGATAAAAGAGACAAAACACAACAACTCTCAGCTTGGAGCGGTACTTTGTGCTCATGGACGGGGCGTCAACCTTGGGAATTGAAAAGGCTTGCGGTGGAGAGCAATTCTGAGGGCCTTCACAGTACTAGCTTCCAGTGGTTCGCTGTACCAAACTCTCAAATACCCTGAGGGCACTTTGAACGCGCTTTCATCCCACTGTTCACGATCATGCTTTTGCAGCCCGTCAAAGGCATCAAGAGAAACAAGAAAAACTGGCAAACACGTTGTTCCTGTCTATTCGAGCATGGTTGCCAGGTTGGTCCGAACGAAATCGACTGGGATATCTCTGTGACTAAGCTGAAGCCGGACTCTTGAAGGTGCACAAAATCGTGAATACCAACATGGCAAATGAATCGAGGTGTTCAACAAGAGCCAAAGAAACATTCACAAGCTGCCTTGAAGTTGGGTAGGGCTCCTTCTCTTGGATGATGTTCCTTGAAAAGAGAACCACCTATTTTGAGGCAGGGACAACTTGTGGTCGCATGGTCGTAAAGACATGTCCTTCATCTCTATGAATGTGCACATGTCGTTGGTTCTTTAAAGTGGGCCAGGCCCCAGTTTGCAAGTGACCCTGTTTCAGAGCTTCTGACTTGTTGGTGAAGTGTGTAGCTGACGTTCTTTGAAAACACCAGGACATAGATTGCATTTTGAATGTTCCTCTGCGCAATCCGAAAAAGACATGTAGCCCGCACTGCTTCGCTAAGAATCACTTGCCAAGTAGCTCTCTTGCCTTCTTACCATTCCACCTGCGAAACTGATCTTCATCCACATGTCCTTGACCAATCTCTGAGCCCAACACGAGCAAAACAGCAAAAACACTCGTATAGCAAAGGGCTACTACACCGCTGAGGCACCGTGCCCAGCAGCCATCATTCTTTGAATACTGCCAGTACTGGCCTCGTCCGAATCTTTCTCTCGATCTTCCATGTTGAGAAAAAGGGACTTGTCAAGTCCAAGAAACAGGTTTAAGATGTGTCATGTCTGTCAATTGAATGTGCTACTAAGTCTGTCAACATCAAGAACACCCACTGCTGGCCCATGTGGTGGGCCATCCAAAAGAACCGTAGAGCATCGCATCAAGCTCCCCTGTTGGAGCTCAAGGTCCATCAGCTGAAGTTCGTTTCGAACCACCGCTGTGGCATCGAACAGCGAGGGCAACCACCCGGTATCGTGCGATGTGCACAAAATGACAAAAGGCATCATTTGAAGGACAAATGCAGTAAGATACCGTGACAGTACCTTTGTACTGCTGAATTCTTGGCAACGTGAAGACAGGTTGTGTGGTGGAATACCTCCTCTTCATTGAAAACTGTCGTGGTAGGTTAAGAAAGGAATCTGCCAAATGTGAACATTCAGGGCAATGCTAAATCTGGTTTAGTCAGGACAAACACAGGTCGTAAATGCCAGATATCAGATGCCGCCTATTTCACGTATGGACTCATCAACTAGAAAATTAGGGATCATAAGAAACACTTGATGAGTCGATACGTCTATTTCAGGTCTAGCCGTCTTCTTCTCCGTGTCACGACTTCTTCTCCATCAGACAGGTATAGCCCCGTATCGCCGCTCTCGCCGTGTCACTCGCGACGGTCCTGCGGAACCGGGGCACCCGGACAGCTCAGCGAGGAGTAGCACCTAGGAGGGAGCTTCCCGGTGGCTTTGACCGAAGCGGTGGATGTTCCAGGCTCCGGTGGTGGGATTTGGGATGGATTTGGGAGTATGTCGGCCGGATTGGTCCGAGGCGGGTGATCCTAAGGGCGGCAAGTGGATCCGGTGGGTCAAAAAAAAGAGATGGAGGGGATTTGGAGGGCGATGAAGGGGGTCAGTGGGTCGGATCCTTTGGCCAGGTGGATGATTGGTTCATCTGGCTCCTCGATGGACTCGATGTGAAACCAATCTGCTGTGGCTTTCGGATGTGACTCGTTGTGAACAGCCGAGTGGCACAGCCAACCGGTGCCAATCTGCAGTGGAGGGGAATTCAAGTGCTGCAATGCAAACTTTTTCCCACCATCCAGAATGACAAATGATGATAAGAAGGATCAGTCTTGGAGGGGGTGTCAACCTGGGAGAACCCCAAACCATACATCACCATCGACTTACACTAGATGGGGGAGCAAACCACCGCTTAGAACGGTTCCAGAATGATAAGCTCCAAGGCTCCAAGCTCCAGTTACTACTCCAATCCACCCAATGCCCACGGGTCACCCCCAGAAATGAACCTTCGGCCCAAGGGGCCAGTCCCGGCAGCGCGTGATGCTCAAGTCCTGTGGGGCGAGTTCGGGGTCAAGTCGTGGCTGTTGGATGCTGTTGGTGTGGAACAAACAAGAGTAGGTCATCAGATCAGAAAGCAGTAGGTCATCAGGTCAGTAGGTCATCCCGAGTCATAAGACCAAAGGACCGGACACGAGTCATATCAGGACACGGTGGGCCAAGTGGAACCACGAGAACCAGGAGCGATGCGCGAAATAGAAAAAAGTAAAAGGACGTCTGTCCGTGCCTGGGAGCCCTCTGCATACAAGCCAAAATTGTAAAGCCTTGGCACCGAGCCGCTGCAGGGTACTGAAGGGTACTGAAGGGTGCTGAAGTTGCTGATGGCTTTCGCTCTGATGGTTTTCTGGGCGAAAAGCTTGCAGACGATCGGGCGAACAAACCACCGAGCCGGAGCAGGAATGATGAGAAACCACGGGTGACCGTCTAAGTTATATAGAGAAACGTTCCAAGTCTGCAGCTCTCCCGTCTTGCTTAGTGTGTCAAACTCTTAGATGTGTGGATGCTTAATGTCCATGAACATCACCCACCATTGGACCATCTGTTCAGTCGTGCTTCATGCGGGAGAGGTGAAATGCTTCAGGCTTGCTTAGATTTAGATGTCAATGTACTCCTCAAGCATCCGGGAAGCCTGTTGATCTTCATGCCAGCCAAGGTCTTGTACACATGGACCTGCTCCAGATCCGGTTGCAGGAAATGGGGAGATCCGCGGGCTTTGGAGGGGCTTGCAGGGCATTGGATAGCTATGGCATGAGGACTCACTTTCACCTGGCATCTCTGCTCCTGTAGATGGACCAAAGTCTGCCACCCCTTCGGTAGCGGAACAATTAGCAGGACTCTTCTGATCATCACCCCATGTGCCCATGTTTACACTATTGGCAAAGAAGAATGGCCACGCCTTTCCGAACGAAGCGGCCCCTCCCACGCCTTGCCATGCTGCACACGCTCCGCGCCCTGTTGCATCGATCCGAGAGTTCGGTGTCCATCCAAAGGGGGGGCGTGCAGCCCCCCAAACTGGAGGGTGTATGATTAAACAACCCCTTCAAAATGGATGATTTGGGAGGACCCCCCCCATTTTTCTGGGTGGACCCTCAAGTTTTCTGCAGTACCTCTGCGCGTAAGCAACATCTTCCGCCTCCACGTGGATAGCGTCAGCTTGTCCCTCAGAGCGGTCCGCCGGTCCGCCGGTCCGCGGGTCCCCCCGGGTCCCCCGACCCGTCCGGTGGTGTGGGTCTCTGCTACAGCAGATGGGAGAGTGATGGGCCAAAGGCAACATGTGTTGGGCCGAACCAGGACTCGAAAGTGTTGGGCCACATGTGTTGGGCAAAATCCTCGTCTTTGGTGCTTGCGGGTCCATCGATTTCTGTTCAATGGACCTTGCTATTCTTTACCGTATCACTCCTAGAGACAGATGCGCCCGCTTTGTTGGGCTTCGATCCATCCATATCCCATATCCTGTCGAGCATACCCCAATCAGCAACGAAGATCCTCCTCGTACTGTATGGTATTTCATTCACATTTTCAGTACCTTGACTTTTGAACTGGATGTGATTGAATCGCCGCAAAAAAAAGAATGCTCGGCCACATCGTGGTGTTGTTCGTGCGCTTCGCGGATAGATCGAAAAAGCTGCACAAAACAGTCTCCAGCGGTCCATCCTCTCAGCTTGGGACCGATACAGAGCTGAAATAAGAAGCCTATTGTTGCAGCCATGCCCGCAGGGTAGCTATGGGTGTATGAACATCTATATAGAAGTGTAGCGCACAAATGTGGCATAAAATCTTCAAGTGAGGTCTTCCATGTCGGTCGTATAGTGTCCGTTCAAGCATGCCTGCAAAGGAGTCGGCATGCTTCACGCCGTCAACATATATAACTATAACAGCTACTAAGGTGTCTTTGAACACCGGTGTCCTAACGAGGATGTGGAAGTCTAAACTCCGAACCTGCGACTGTGTCAAACTTCAGGATTGGTGCACTCAAAGGACTATCCTTCCACAATGCTACGGCCGTTCTAACCCTCCACCCCGCTGGCCGGGGCATCCCGATGAGCACAAACAACCAAATAGTACATGTAATAGTCCAGTGTTGAAACAGACCAAAACGCGTCTTGTACAACTAGACCCAAACATTAATTCGAGGAGAGTTGTCGACACTTCACTTTGAAAACATCTGAAATGTCACCCTCAAAACCTTACACAACCCCCCCAACCACAGGGAGCATGGTAGCTTTCCCCACTAGAGAACTCATCCTCAGATGCGTTATCCCAAAAGATCGGGCCCAGCGACGCTTCGGAAGTCGCAGTCAAAGCCACCCACGCCTATCCAACACCTGAAGACGAGTGTCAGACACACGAGCGGCGGAAAGGATGTTCCGGTGGCACAGGGGGGATGGCATACGCTTGGTTCTGTGGGTCATGGCGCCGGGAGACCGTACTGAAGGTCTTGAAGCCTACATGGTGGGTCTCCAGGTTTTGGTGGTTTTAGCCCCGAGGAGGGATTTTCCACAGGCCACCCTTGATTTGGTTCGTTTAGATCAAGAACCTCTCACCCCCAGCTTTTGAAACATGCTCATCGGACTCGTTCAGAAACTTTTGAACCCAAACCTGGGTGCGTTTGCCTAAGATGGCTTGGATTGGTCCACCCTTCAGCCAACATGGGGCAGTGCCCTTTTTCCACGCAGTGCCCGTCTTACCGTCCCCAAAGCCCATTCCCCGCACGGTCCTCCGCCGCTCCGCCTTTCGAGCGCGTGGAAGACCACAAGCTTCTTAAACAAACCATGGTCTTTCAGCGCAGGCCTTCCACTTGGTGTGGAGGCCCTACATCAAATCCATGTCGTTTGAATGAACTGAGCCATCGACAGGGGATCAGGCCCTGAATCTGCCTGGTCCTTCCTCCCTTCTTCTCCCTGCTCAGAGCTGATTGTCAGGTCTCTCAGCTTTCGTGCCCACAAAAAAGATACAGCCAGCTGTTAATGCTCACCATCTCAGCTTCATCTGCCTGGCCGCTCTTGTTTCCACTTAGATGCTGTTGACGACGAGCCGCTGCTAGACAGACATTTGTTTCAGAAAGAATGAGCCACGTGAGTGTCGGGCAATCAAAAGCACAACATGGACAGACTGTTTCAATGACATAAGTGGGTCCAGTGGGTCCAGTGGGTATGTTTCCCAAAGAGTGAGTAGGTTGCGCGGTTGCGCAAAGTTCACCCAGCGAACTTCACAAGCGAAGCGTGTGTCGAAGTGGCCTACATCTACAGTGGTTTCAGAGTAGATGGCACAATCCCCAAGTTTGGTGGTTTATATGGGCCCCCATGTAAAGGACATCTTGGGGTGCCAGCGCCATCTACTCTGAAACCACTGTATCGTATCCTTCTTTCCTACCACGGGTCGAACTACGGGTCTTTCTATCGAATACACACCCAGCTCCTCTTGATCTCTGTGCAGGTGATTGGCATGTTGAGCACTGAGCGGGATTGTTCCCACAAGAATGAAGACTTGTGTGGATTTGGTGCAGAAAGGCCTTGCAAAAAACTTCATCCAAGCTTGGCATTTACAGTGCATAATCACCCTAGGCCCTAGGTTGGAATTCAATCTATTTGTGAGGAGGAAAGCAGCTTGCTGTTGTATGGTTCGCTCCATGCAAGTAATGTTTGAGATGCACTATGTCTCCGGCAGGCCCCTTTCCACGGCCTCAGCAACGTGCCAAGCGGCGTACAGCGGGCAGATGCCCCCTGGCGATCTGAAGTGAGGTAACGTCGGAACTCTCCCCCCACTGCAGGAACAAATGAAAACAGTTTTAGCAGTTTTTGAACCAGAGTCTATTCACAAATGACATTCTGAGATTTCACCGAAATTCCAGCTCTGCCCCATTGGAGGTACCGCACCCTTGTGCGGTACCTCCAACATACAGTAACCAAAGTGGGAAATCGGAGTCTCCATTTTGTAGGGGTTCTCTGGCTGCCGCTTTGTTGTTTGAGAGTGTACCTGGGATTCACTTGACAAGGTGTGTTCTTCATGAAGATGTTCTCCATCTGCACGAAAAAAGCATCCAAAAAAAGAAAACATGGAACCCATAAGGCATCGCAGCTAGAGGAGGGCTGCTTACTTGGAGTGGTCTTGAGTCTCTGCTTTCTCGGAGCTGTTGGCTCATGATCAAAACCGCAGTCTCTTGCTCGCCGTCCTCGCTGTTGCTTCTCTAGACCGACCTTCGACTTGGTTTGACTCAAACCCAACGAAGCGGCTTCCTCTTCGAACTAGTTAACCCACCGCATTGCCCGGTCATATACAAAACATCTATGTGACTTCGGACCCGGACCACCGGACCTGCGCCCCGCGCAACGCGCAGGAACCGCCTGCAGCCTCCACCTGGGCTTGGAGCTCAGCCAGCTTTGTGCTCTCCAAGTATCCAGGTGCCAGGCTCAGCGAGCACGTGGCCTCACAGTCCCGGTGCTCCCGAAACGAAATCATCAAAAGGAGTGTATGTCGTCAGTCCAAAAAGAGTGCAAAATCAAGGCCTGACAGCACTGGGGGCAGCGAAAAATATCTGTTCACTGGAATTATATATATAGAGAGGGGAGCGCTGTGAGCGGCGCGTTTTTCGATGAAAATGAGCATTTTTCAACCTTTTTCATGCGTTTTCTTGAGAATGATTGATGTGTCTGACATTGCCTGGAAGGATCTGCCTGGAAGCGCCCAGATATTATTCAGTAAGATCGGTCAAGAAACCTACAGTGATTATGAAAAAAAAAGAACCAAAATTGGAATGATAGAATGAATGACTTTACAAGAAACTTATATAAATGATCACTTTAAACAACATAGAACACTATATGCTGAAGAGAAAAATATAGCAAACAAGGAGAAGATAGAAGACCGCAGGGGCTTATGGAATGCCTATTCATCACCAAGTGCTTTTTACAAAACAAGTAAGACTTTATACATAAGTGGCACAGGTGGTTGTGATGGATCTTTAACAAGGGATATTATGGATGATCTGTTATTAGTACCTACTAGAAATGTTCATCACAGTGAGAAATACAAACATGTTATAGAAGAATTGGAAAAGTCACCAGAAATAACCCGTTTGGTTGGGCATAACCTTGCAAGTGCTGTAATAAGATCAATCAAGAACAACCTAATACATTTGCTACAACAACCTATGCTACCCCTACAATAAAAACAAAAAGGAAAGGAACAAAAGTCCCAAAAGACTTGACTACCGCAATCCATCCGATATTGTTTCAATGTTGGATGGTTACGCTGTAACTTCTGATTTGAAAGAACCTAACCCTTTAATGAGCCACAGCTATATCAATTTTGAAGGGAACGGCCTTTGGAACATCAATCCCGGCACCAATATAAGCAATGGATTTAACCCCAATCACTCATTTAAAAAACAACATTTAAACTTAGTTAAAATATGTAATGTTATGGTGGATTACTCCAAGGCAAAATTTTACAGAATACTAAATGACAAAATGACGATGTCTATATTGGTGCTACTTGTCAGCCATTGAGTGTTAGAATGGCAGGACATAGAAGGGGGCGGAATGGCAAAGATAAGAAACATTACAAATTGTTATCACACAATCACCCAAACATTCAATGCTGGTGGTGGTGAAATTAATATGAATATTGTAAAATCATCTTCTAAACTGACTGGAGCATTCATTACCTTATTTAGAACTCCAAGGAGTGGTGAAGAACTGAACCGATACTTACCTGACAATTATGTATATAAGAGATGGAATTAATCCTATGATCTATGGAAGAATTAATGATACTGGTAATGCTGATACAAATGACTTACAAGGTACAAAGGTTTTCAAGATGCCACCCGTAGTTTAAGTTGGCAAATTCAATTAAGCAATTCCCAGAAATACACAGAATTTGAAGCGCAATCATTATCATAAATCTTTTACTACTTAAGAAGAGCTATACAGTACATGACAGTTTAAGTTTTTCGTATCGTCAATACAGAAAGAACAAATTCATTATTGGTATGTCATTTGAAAAAATTGCAGATGTCAATTTTACTGGTTATAATTCTAAAATGTCAGGTATTACCAATTTTCGAGTTAAAGGAGCAGAAGGAGCATTATTAGACCCTAATGAACAAATCACTGAGGGTTTCAGAGACTGTTCTGGAATTGAGAGAAAGTGGTAGTATTGTCTACTTCCAAGGAAATTGAAAATTTAAAACATCCCAGGAAATCAAAAAATCCAAAATTCCAGTTTTCCAAAATTCCAATTTTCCAAAAAAAACAAAGAAACCAAAAAAAACAAAAAAAAACAATTCTGCACAGACCATGGGGGGAAGAGGGGGTGAGGCAAAGTCCTGGCACAATTGGTTTTTTTGGTTTTTTGGGTTTCTTTGGTTTTTTTGGAAAATTGGAATTTTGGAAAATTGGAATTTTGGAAAATTGGA